CCCCAGCTGCCGGCCCCACCGACGCCCGCTGCCGCGCCTCAATGGCCACAGTGGAAGGCCCTGGCCCTTGTTGCACCGGCCACGCCACCCGGGTCCGTGCCGCCGCAGCTGCTGGCCCCACCACCGCCCAGCACGGGGCCCGGGTCACCCACGCAGGGAGGCGTATCGATCCAGCAAGTGCGCTTCCCGCCGTCACCATCCCCAATACAGGCCTGGCTGACCGGATCACCGCCGCCACCCGTCTACACGTCGGTTGGAGACCCGCCGGCACCCACTCTGCAGTTCGGCGATCCCTCCGGCTCGGTGGGGCACTCCACGGGCCGTGGCCATGCTGACCGGGTGCCCCAATCCTCGCTGCTTCGCACCTCCGAGCCAGTTGGACACGGCGCTCCGACTCAGACACCGCCGCGGTTTGCCAAACTGGACTTCGCCGCTTACGACGGCACGGAGGACCCCCTAAACTGGCTCAACCAGTGCGAGCAGTTCTTTCACGGGCAACGCACCCTCGCCTCGGAGCATACCTGGCTCGCCTCTTACCACCTCCGCGGCGCGGCACAGACCTGGTACTACGCCTTCGAGCAGGACGAGGGCAGCATGACCCCTTGGGAGCGCTTCCGCGAGCTCTGCCTCCTTCGCTTTGGGCCACCGATCCGCGGGAGCCGCCTGGCAGAGCTAGGTCACCTTCCCTTCACCTCCACGGTTCAGGACTTCCGACCGTTTCCAGGCCCTGGCATGCCACGCGTCGGGCGTGACGGCGCGGCAGCGGGCCGACCTCTTCTTCGGTGGACTTCCGGATCACATCCGCGTGGACGTGGAGCTTCGGGGACCCCAGGATCTCCAAACGGCCATGTACTACGCCCGTGCGTTCTAGCGCCGCCAGGTGGCCATCCAATAGGCTCACCGTCCCGGGCCGCTGGGCCGCTACCCTGGCCGGAGGTTCCCGTGCAGGGTCAGCCTGCTCAGGCTTCCGTGGCACCCCTCGCCGCGACCGCGGCGCGCCCGTTCCGCCGGCTCACCTCGGCCGAGCTACTCGAGCATCGCCGCCAAGGGTTGTGCTTCAACTGCAACGAGCCCTACACGCCCGGCCACGTCTGCCCGCGACTCTTCTACCTGGAGGCTGCAGACTACATCGAGGAGGATGTCGTTGCCGCCGACCTGGCCGGCCCAGCTGTTGCGAAGGTGTTTGATGCTGGTTGATCACCTCGGGGAGTTCAGCAAGCGCTTCCCCACCTTACAGCTCGAGGATGAGCTGTTTGTGCAGGCGGGGAGAAGTGTTATGACCGGCATATTAGGGGCTTAGCCCAGTGGGTTGTGGCCCAAGTTATCTTATCGTTATTAGGGGCTTAGCCCGATTATCTTATCGTTATTAGGGTCGTTTGCTTAGGAGTCAAGTAAACCCCTCTATTTAAGGAGAGGAGATGTATCAATCTAATCAAGCAAGAATTAAGAAGGAAATCCCTTCCCTCTTGCCCGGCCGTGGGCAAAAAGGCCCCCGGCCGGCCCTCTCACGCCCTCCTTCTAGCAGCGCCATAACAAGTACATAGATCATAGGAGATAGCATTAAAACTTAGCAATTCGGACATCGGACATCGCATTAGTTCATCCAAAAGGGCCAGGGGAGTTCAGATTCAACCTGAAACGAAAATAAAAATAACTAAAATATAAACATAGCAATGGGGGGCGGCCGGAGTTCACCACTTCTTGTCCAGACCCTTGCCCTTGCGGTTGGCGGTGCGGCGGTCAATCTCCTCCGTGTTCGCGTCCGCGGCGGGAGGGTCGTCGTCGTCGTCCGTGCTGGTGGTGCCACTCTCCAACGCCGAGGAGATGTAGCCAGACAGGCGGCAGATGGCGTGGGCCCGCTCCCCCGCGTGCCATGCCGCCTTCACCTTGGCGCTCTCCTTCTCCCTCGTGAGCCGCTCGAAAGCTTCGAGCCTGAGCGGAGCGCCTTCTTGTTTTTGCACCGGAGGCGCCTAGCATTGGACTCCACGTACCGTGGTCAACGAGCACCGCATGACCTCGCGGAGGAGCACCTCCAAGTCAACGGGGACGGAGCATGCGCGTTGGCAGGAAGAGTCGGGCTCCGCCGCGGCCCGCTGCCGCTAGCACCGGGCCGCCTTCGCATCCAACTCTGGCATGCGCATCCGCATGGCAGCCGCGGGCACGAGCACCCAGCGCTGCCCGGGCGGTGCTTGTGCCGGAGGAGGAGAGACGGCCGCCCTGCTCCGGATCTGGAGTGGAGTACAGCAGGTGGGGCAACCGCGGCCCGCATTGGCGCTTTGTGGCAGCAGGACCCGGAGGAGCTGGCGGCAGACGCGACGGAGCTCAAGGTGTCGCCGGTGTCCAGCCACGAGCGCTGGATGGTGATGCGGAACGCGAGGTCCTCATCGTCCAGCGGCGTCGCTACCGGAGCCGACGTCCGCCTCCTTCATGAGGCCGTCCCAGTCCATGGGATCATCTCGCTGCCGGAGTCATGGTCGGACTTGGCCATGGCAGAGGAGGAAGGGAGATTGGGAGAGGAAGTGGAGAGACAGGAGGGGAGCGGAAAAGGCAAGAGGACTGAGAGTGACTAGGGTTCGTCCGATCGGGTGGGGTTTTTGTTGGGGCGGTGGTGGGGGCAGCCACAGCGGGCTGGTCTGACATGGCGGCTCTACCCAGGCGCGTCCAGGCCTCCCCATATCTGCCCCAGATATGGGCCTGATCGGGACTACCAGTCAGTCCAAGCGTTTGGGCCGGATTGAAGCGGCACGCTGGGTGGAGCTTTTGCGTCTGGGCAGTGACCGGGCAGCCCGCCCGAGTGTTTGGGCGGGTATGGGGGGTCGGTTGTGCATAATCGACCATTCCATAACAACCTGCAGGGCTCCTCACGGGAGAACCCACGCGCGACTCCAATCCTAGGTGCTCCCGCGTCGCCCCACGGGTTACTCAGGCGGCGACCCCACCGCCGCTCCGCTAGCCCTCCCTTCTCCACCCTCCTCCCCTCGCCGCCGCCGGACGGCATCACCAGGGGAAAGCACCTGGTGGTTGTCGGCGACGACGGATGCTCGTGCCTCGCCTGGGCCCGGCGCCCACTCCCTTTCCCCTCGGTCGCGGCTCGCGTCCCGATGTCCATCCTACGCCGCCACCGGCGGGATCCGGCCTGCTCGCGTCCCCGTCGCGCCTCATCCTCGGTTCATGGGGTGCTGTTGCCGGCATGCAACGGCGCCCTACCAAATCCCCTGCTCTGGGTATGCCACCGGCGGGAGGCCTCCCGGCTGCTCCTTCTCCGGTGGATGGCGGCCAGGTCGGGTAGCCCTCATACCAGATCTGGCGCGTGTTGGCGCTCTGCTGCCCTCCGGTGCAGATCCGCTGCTCTTGCCTTTCTGCAGATCACCCAGGGTGGCAGGAGACGTCCGGAGCGGCCTGTGGTGCCAGTGCGCCGCTGCGTGGGCTGGCTGGTGGCTGGCCCTTGGCTCTGGCAAGTTCGATTGGGGGCTTGGCGTGGCATGGTGGGGTGGCCGAGGGCCCTCTGGATGTGTAAGAGGTGTCTTTCCATCACCGTCTGGTGGTTGATTCCCTTGCCGGCGTGCTGCTGATGGTGGTGCCGGTATGCGAGCACTTAGATGCCAGGGCGGCGGCCCTAGAAGGTGGACTGCACATTTGGCTTTGCGGCAGGCGGCGTTGCAGTGGTGGTGGCTTCTCTCTGTGGTTGTGTGGAAGGTGTGGAGTGGGGCGGCGGGGGATCTTGGTGATGGCGATGCTTCAGCAGTGACGTCTCCTGATCGCGATGTGGAGGCTTGATTTGGTGTTGGCGGACTTGTTGACTAGGGCACCTCGATGTGGCGTGGGTGAGGTCCGGGCGAAAGTTCAGCGCTTCGGCGCCGGCGACGACGATGCATGTGGGTGTCATGTCCCTCTTGGGGGCGTCGTCAAGGTCCCTTTTTCCTGCGCCAGGGCTCCGGGTGAAAATCTTTGACAATTCCTTCGGTCTTGACGGCAGCAGCGCATTGTGTCGTCACCCTCCTGGGGGTGTCATCGTGGAGCTCGGGTTCTCTCTGGTCATGGCACGTCGTCATCGATGGGCAAGCTTGGATCCCGGCTTGAAGTTCCTTCGCCTCTGGTGTGGGGTGGTCTCGCTGCATCGTATCTTTTACACGTGACTTCGTTGGCATCGTTTTCGGTCCTTGGTGTCTGCTGGCAGGATCGGCGCTCCACAACCCGGAGTGAGACGGCAGGGGGCTCTCTCAAGTGACAGCTTGGTGTGTGCGTTGCAACGGATGTCCGGTGGTTTCTTGTGGAGGCGCGCGGTTCCTCGTCTAGTCAATAGTCTGGAGTGCTTCTTGTTGGGGTGTGGCTACTCCTGTTTGTATGTTTATCTTTGATGATCTGCTTTGTAAGAGGGTTCTCTCACCACTTTGTATCGGTTCGGTCGTATTGCTTTATATATAAAGCGGGTGAAAGCCTTTTTTAGTATGGGGGTCCGATTGTAGATGCTCTTAGTACATATGCTCTGTCTCGGTATGGCAGGACAAGTAAGAGAAGAATGGAATGAGTATTGATCTGAGAAGTTGGACATTGAGGTAATATACCCTTCATAGATGATAAAACAGAATGTGCATAGATAATATTAATGTGATGGTGATTACCAGCCTTTGAACAGAGAAGTTAGAACAAAGCAAAGCTACCACTCTCTCCAGTCGTCATTGTATGACGTTAGGACAACATGCCAATGCACGCACGCACTACAGATCTGATGTCCGAACTTGATAATTGGAGGGCGTAAGTCACTAGGGGCGTATGACCGTGACCAATTGAATGAAGCACAAAGTAAAAGATAAATACTTCCTCGGTATCAAAATATAAGACGTTTTTTGGTCTAGATTTAGACTTAAAAACGTCTTATATTTTGATACAGAGGGAGTAATACGCAGCTACCAGTGTCCTATGAATTAGTGTGGTTACAGCAGTCGCAGCGAAATTAAACTTGCAATATAAGACATCATCAGAATTTTATGCTGCAGTACCTCTGGAAGGTATGGCATTGAATATGTCAATGTTTCGCCATTTTGAGAATCGCCATCGCCAACTTGTTGATAGAGAGAGTCCTTTCTTCTATTCACCCCATCTGCAACCCAACAAGCATGGTTAATACTTAATAGTGCATCTAACATAAGAGAGAGGGAGAGAGAGAGCATAAACAGGCAACAATCTCTTGAAATCTCCTCCCATAACCGAATTTTTAGTGCGAAAGTGTGTGGACTCACCTAGTATGCCGTAGGGAAAAGAAAGTGTTTTAGAGCTCTTTTTAACAAACAAACATGGATATGGGTTAAAAGGAACTCGATTAGGACCTAACCTACCCAAACAACAGTTCAATCTCAAACGAATTAAAATGTACTCTCTCCGTCCGGATTTACTAGTCGAAGAAATGAATGTATCTAGACATACTTTAGTTCTACATTCATCTATTTTTATTCATTTCTGCGACAAGTAATTCTGGACGGAGGGAGTACATAGTATCCATCTGACACTAATCTAAACAATCGATTACCGAACTTACTACAGATAAAAAGAGCCATTTTTCATGACTGAAGAAAACAGCAACTGAGTGAAACGAATCAGAGAGAGGGCGAGCGAGTTGAGGCTTACTCTGGGCTAGGTTTTGGCGGCGACGCCCCTTCTGCCCCATGGTAGTAGACGTCGGTATCTCACCCCCAAGGGGTCTTCTTGCCAAGAAATAACTTCCGATCCGTTCTCTCTCTCCGATCTACTTCCTCTTCTTCTGTATATATAGTCCGTCTTCGTCCGTCCTCCCGTCCCAAACTCGAACGAGTTTGTACCGAACTGTCCTACCGAATCAAAATCTGCTCAATTTCCTTGTGATTTCTTGCCCATCCGATCCCCGCAAAATTCCAGAGAAATCCTGCTGAGCCCCGCGCGAAGCTCCTCCGCACCTCCGGCGTCCTCTACCGCGACGGTTGCTGGGTGGAGACCCGAGGGAAGGCGGCGGGGCTTGGCTCACGGCTCAGATTCTCTAACTTGCTTATAGCAAGTCAGAGGCAGCCCAGCGCACGCCAGATGCCGCTCGTTCTCGATCGGTCGGCTGCTTCTTTCGATCCCTCACTCAGCCTAAAATAAGCAGCCCAGCCCAGATTTCATAGCCCACCTAAAGGCCTACTTCAACAGGAAAACAAAACTTCAGGCGGGAGCACTAGAGGATTTTGGCGGGGAAACGTGTGCTGCGCTGCTCTGTCGCGCGCTGTCTCAGCTTTGGACGATCGTTGCGGCAACTCCAAGGAAATCAGCTGGCCGATCGAGGAAAACTTCTGGCGATCGATTCCAGCCATCGTTCCTCCTCCTCCTCCTTCTAGATTACAGGTAGCAACCACAAATCTCCCCTCTTAGTCTTGTATTTTCTTCACAAATTGGAAATTTTCTTACTTGTATTTGTTCATGATTCCTGCAGTAATTATTGAGTTCACGTCTTCAAATTAAGAAATAATGGCAGAAACCAACAAGTAAGTTAGGCTTACACTGGAATTCCTTTGCTGACATCTAGATCTATAGCAAGTTAGGCTTACATTGGAATTACCTATATATTTATTTTGGTGCAGGGAGAATGTGATTCGTACATCCTTACCTCAAGTTGGTCAGAAATTCACGGACTTGGCTGAGGCATGGTCATTTTGGGTTAACTATGGAGGCACAAACAAAGAATATAGGCCTTTTGGTGTTTTCGTCGGATTCAATCATTTTAGAGAGACCGTTATTTTTGGTGCTGCTCTTTTGTTTGATGAAACACGTGGCTCTTTCAAATGGTTATTTGAGGCTTTTGTAGAGGCACACAACGGAAAGCAACCTAGAGCTATATTTACCGATCAAGACACGGCAATGGGATTGGCTGTTGGAGATGTTTTCACCCAAGCATGGCATGGCTTGTGCACCTACCACATCATGCAAAATGCCGTCAAGCACTTGTGCAATAGCAAAGTTGAAGAATCAAAAAAAGAGGAAGATGAAGAACCTCATATCCTCTTAGATTTCAGCGCTTGTATGTATAATATTGAGGACAAGGCAGCCTTTGAAGAGGCATTTGACATCATGAGAAATAAGGTGGATAAGAAGAAGGCCTCATGGCTAGATAGCATCTACAAGTTAAAAGAAAAGTGGACTGAATGTTACATGAGGGATGTTTTCACATTGGGAATGAGAAGCACACAATTAAGTGAGAGTTTCAATAGTGATTTGAAAAAACATCTCAAATCAGATTTTGACATCATTCGCTTCTTAAAACATTTTGAAAGGGTTGTGCAAGGAAAAAGAAACAAGGAGCTAGATGCAGAATTTGAAGCTACTAAAAAACTGCCTAGAATAGGGATGGAGACTCCTATGTTGTTGCAAACAAGCGAAGCTTACACACCGACCATATTTGAAGCATTCAAATCTGAATATAGAAGATCCATGGCTGCATGTAGTAGAGCATTGGATGGAGATAATACATATGCTGTTACAATTGTGAGGGGTAATGGTGATTTGAGTTCCGAACTAGAGCGCATAGTTGTCGGTGATCCTTTGGAGCAAACGACTTCTTGTAGCTGTTTTCAGTTTAAAAGGACCGGAGTATTGTGTGCGCATGCTTTAAAAGTTCTTGACTTGATGAATATCAAGTTATTGCCAAACCATTATCTTTTAAAGAGATGGACCCGAGAAGCAAAATCTGGAACTATACAAGATACCAAAGGAAGGGATATAATTGAAGATCCAAAATTGGATGCTATGTTGCGGTACAAGTTTGTTTCTCACAAATTTCATGATTTTGCAAGTGAAGCCGCAAGCGATCCGGAATGTATCTTGTTGGTGGACAATGCATTGGACATCCTTGCCAAGCAAGTACGGGAAAAACTGAGGATATCTAGAAGTATTTTGAGTGAATACTCTAATGTGCAGCCTAATGTTCAACAAGATGAGGGTTTGCTTAGTTCTGCACGCCTCAAGAAAAAAGAGGTTCAACCGAAAAGTTCAAAGAGACATAAACCTTGGATCGAGAAGACACGCAAGTAGAAAAAGAAAGACCCAAAGGAATCTAGCGTATGTTGCTGAAAATTCTTGCAATTTAGTGTACTTATTTATTACTACATCATATATAAATTTGTTGGGTTTCTTTGTGCAGCAACAAGAGAAAGAGAATCAAGTTGGTGGAGAAACTCAAGCAACAACTGAAAATGCTAATAATGCCAGCAATGCATTCAGGAGCTACACAGACTTGCTAATGGTACTTTAAATGTTGTTGTATCTTCTCTAAACTACTATTCTATTCCAACGTTTCATTTTGATCCTCTTTCTTTGCAGGGTTCTAATGGAATTGATGATATGGATTTTGGAGATCTTCTTTAGGTTCCTATTTCATGACAAGAAGAAGATAGTCCATCTTCTTCTTTTGGCCTGAATATGTTCAGCTTGAAGAAATTTGTGAAAAACACCGCAAAATGGTGTTCTTTTGTGTAGAACCTGCAGCTCTAGTACTATATTTTGTTAGAGGTTATTATGGTTATTTGTATCATGACTAATGTTTGTATTCTGGTTGATTTTGGTTGAATTCTGGTTGAAAACGGAGTATTTTTATAGGTTTCTATCCAGTCTAAATATGTTCTGTTCTATTCTGCTGTTTACATTCAGTTAACTGTCCATAGATGCACTTGTCGCTGCAGCTGGGCTGTTTGCTCCCGAATGGGCCTCCCTTGTCGCTTATGTGGGCTGGCCTGGCTGAACTGTGTTGTGTGAGGGAAGGAAACATGAAACAGAGCAGGGGACACATGATGGAGAAGAAACGGCATCCAGCTGCCTCTGACTTGCTATAAGCAAGTTAGAGAATCTGAGCCGCTTGGCTCAAGGGGAGCCGGTGGAGGCAAATTTGACAATTTTGACCTCCGGACAAAATCAATTCACAAAATGAACTGGGTGTGAAACTACTTCACTCCCCTGGCCCTTTTGTGTAGCGCCTGCCACACCGGCACCACACCCGGTGCAGCGTCTAGCTCGCGGGCGTTGCACGCCCTGGGCCCCGCACCCAGTTGTGCAACGCCTCGGAGCTAGGCGCCACACATGTAATGTGCAGCACCTAGCCGTCGGACGCTGCACTGTGAGTTATATCCAGCCGCGGCGGCCCTCTCCTCCCCCACCCACCCCATTGCAGCAGTTACAGAAGAACAAAAGAAGCCGCGGTGGCGGCCCTATCCACTCCCCCTCTCAATCCCCTCTCCCAAATCCTTCAAATCCGACGATTTGGTCCGTGGATTTCGTCACCAATCCATCCTAGAAGGTACTCTCCTCCGATCCCATTCTTTCTATCCATAGAAAATATACTATTTTGAAGATTTGGGGAACCTTTGTTTGATTTGATTAGATTAGAATCTTGCATGTTTATAATCTTGCATCTATTAGAACTCTTGTTTGTTTGATTTCGGGAACCCTAGTTTAGTTTATTTTTTCGAAAAAATATGGTTGGATACATAGGTTGACATGTTATTTCTATGGAAAATATATTTGTATGAAGTAGGCCTAGTTTAGTTTATTTGTGTTGAACTTATATTTGTTTTGACAAGAATGCTTTGGATACATATGCTTTGAATTTTGCATCTAGTAGGCGTAGTTTAGTTTATTTGTATTCAAAAGATAATTGTTTTGACAAGAAAGTTTTTTTAAAATTGTTAGGATGGTTTGGCTTCTCGATGATCACTGGGACAAACAACACCGGTCGTATGCTATGTCGGTGGAGCAGCGGGTAATAATGAAAGTTGCCAGTGTTATGAATTTCATGTTTATTTCAAACACAAATGCACCATATGTAATGATTTGTTTGTTTGTTTGTAGGAGCTTGCACCTTTGAAGCTTCGGTCTCACGGGGTCACCCTTGGGTGGATGCGCTATGATGAGCGGTGCACACCGTATGTAAGGGAGACAGGACTTCTCCTTTTCATTCAGTTGGTCTGTCGGACGACGCCACCCAACAATGCTGCGGCACTCACTGCGCTTATTGATCATTAGAGGCCGGAGACACACACTTTCCATCTTCGGACCAGGGAGATGACCATGACGTTCCAGGATATGGCTATGATCACGGGTCTTCCTATTGATGGGAACCCTTTATGTATGAACACCAATTCTGATGGGTGGCGCGCACAGATGCATGCCCTTATCGGTATGGTTCCTCCGGAGCCTCGAGAACCAAAAGCAGAAGACAAGAAGAAGGAAAGAGTCGCAGCTGGTGCTCCTTTCACGTGGATTACATCCAACTTTGGTACTTGCCCTGAGGATGCTAATGAGGACATGGTGAAGACATATGCTCGTGTCTACATGTGGTACCTGATATCCAGGACTATGTTTGCTAATGGCACATGCAAGAATGCTCCATGGATGTGGCTGAAGGCGTTGACCGTCTTCGATAGCAAATGGAGTTGGGGTTTGGTGACACTGGCATGTTCTCTTTTATGTTCAGCTGGTGTTGTAGGCCATCTGGAGGTATTGGTGGTTGTATGCTCGCACTTTCCATATGGAGCTGGAAGCGTTTGCCGGTTGGACGGTCGAAGACCGTGAAGTACGAGGATTGGGACGACAAACATGACCCACTACGGCACCCCACTTGGGCTTATAAGTGGGATGTGTTAAATGAGACGACGGATGATCCGTCGG